CAAGTAACCTCACTACAGCACAACTCACAGTCGTACTGACAGCTTGATGGCACAAACAACCTCACTTTTCAACGAATTTCGTCTGCTATTTGTCGTATGAAGTCCATCACTACCCGACTTTAGTACGACAAAAGTTTAGTAACTTTCCGACGGAAGTCCCCCACTTAAGCACCATCGGCAGCCAATCGCTACGTCCGACAACGCTCGTCGTACGACTCGTGTAATAGCACCCTTAGTATTAGGTTGTCCGTAACCCCTCCACTCAATTGGGATTGGTCGATTTTCTTATGCTTACGTCTTACGGCTTTATGGGATTTTATGTGTGAAGGCCTTTACGCCGCATGTGACGGCACCCTAAGATGCGGCAAAATGTATTTTGCGCCGGAAGTGAGTTATCTGAGTAACATTTTTAACCAATAGTTGCAGCTAAATCGCAGACATGGCCGCCGATTAGGATCCTCTCTGGTTATACTGTGGTGACATAAGGATTCAGCTTAATATGTTTGGTCTATCTAGAATATGTCTATGGTGAAAATGCATCACATGAAGAAATGCGGAATGTCGAACCGGATAGATAGGAGATGTCATCGTTATCTTAAGTCGAGTTTTTCCTGTTGAATTTATACAGCTACACGAGAGTATTTGTGATCAGAGTATCAAAGACTTAAAGAAAGTTTAGTTGATTCAAAGCTTTTCCTAGTTCGGGAATAATATATACAATTTTGGATTTCTTGCCTTTTCATTGGGGCTGTATTGTCACTGTATGCCTGATTATGCGAATGGACGATAAACGACGATTAATACACGTTGATGTTGTAACGATAATGAAAGTAACGTTTTAGGTACGAAAAAAGGAGTGGCTTTTTAGATATTAAGTAATACTTGGCTACGTGACGTTTCTAACCTTATTCGACGATAATATGAAGTCAGGCAATACGGATAAGCATAGGGGTACGATACTCCTAAAACCGGAGGAAAATGAACAAGTCTTCCAGTTGATAGGGAATCGATGCCAGGTAAGAATTTTTTGCTTAATTTCCATATTGATGCGAATATCTTGATATTGATTTATTGATTTAACATATTGATTCGATTAACGAACAGTTTTTGAACTTTTCCTTCAAATTTCCTATTTTCATACTTTTGCCTATATCTTGAATAACATTTGATGTATTATTTAATTATATTTTGAATAATTATTATTAATAATTGTTTATAAAGTGCAAAAAAACTGAAAAGATACATGGTTCTATATTTATAAAAATACATATAATTAATTTATAATAAAAATGTTAATTTGTAATAATTCAGTTAAGTACTAAAAAGGATGAAATCAGAACAAATATAATATATATTTTTATTTTTTTTAAATATATTTTTTTTTATCCATGATTAACAATAGGATAGTTATATTATTTTGTTTTATTATTTATACAATCAAAAAAAATACAGTCAAAAAAACATTCAACATTTATATAATAATATATGATAATACACACTGTACTAACAATGTAAAAGAAAAATTCTAAGTAACTATAATTAAAAAATTTAATCATTTCCAAAATATAATTTTTTAAATTTTGTATATTAAGTATTTCAACTTATTAACTTCAACATGTTATATGCGACGCCAATATATTAATTATGGTATTAATATGCAAAATTGTTTCTATTTTAAAAATGGTTGAGTTTTCAACTTTTATTTACTTTTTTTTATTCAGTATAATGTACTATCTATCATGTAAATAATGATTGCTTTTTAACATCTTGTTCACAAAGATTTAATCATTTTTAATTTCTTGTTTATACATTTACATTAAAATATTATTTATAAATATTTAAACTTTGTATTTTTGTATAAATTTACATAGATAGTAAATGTATATCAATATAATTATAAAATATATTAAAGTATATTAAAATATAGCAATGAAATAATACTCTATAAAAAAAAAGAGAAATTATGACATACATATATGAATTATTTATACACTACAGAAATATTAGCATTTTTTATCAAGACTGTCATACAGTTACAAGATAATTTTAATTACAAAATACGATAAAAAATAATAGGCCAGAACCGAGCATAAAAGGATGGTCAATAAATCAAAATAAAATCATGCAAAAGTCATGTTAAAAGTATATATTCAATAATATTCGAACAAGCTTCGACTTTATACTCAGTCTTCCTCAGGGACAATAAGCAAATTAATCAATCTAATCCATAAATAACTAACAAAAAACGTACATTATTAATAAAATCACACATGTTTAAATATTTAAAACAGTCAGAACGTTTCTGCAGAAGTCATATGTCCTCTTTATTGTTCTTATATCCATATGCTTACAAGTCATTAAAAATTTCCCACATCTGGTCATCTTTTATCAATTGCGACAGTCTCCCATGACAAAGAATATCTGGCCTCAGACATGGTTTAATCAGTATAGCGTGAACAGTGTTACAGTAAAGTTCTTACACTTCAGTCTAATGATAGATATGGTTTAATGGACAGCTATAACTATAAATGATACTATAGATATAGTCCTTAATATCAGTCTATTGGAACCATGTCTGAGGCCAGATATTCTTTGTCATGAGACTGTCGCAATTGATAAAAGACAACCAGACGTGGGAGATTTTTAATGACTTATTGACTTAATGACTATCTATTATTTTTTATTGTATTTTATTATTACAATTACGAGCCTATAATCACAATTGAGTAATTTTAATTAATTCGAAATTTTTAATATTTTTTGTAATTTAAAATAATTTTTATACACAATTATTTTTTATACTATCAAGCGACGCGGTAGCGGCGCAACGCCAAGTATATTTTATTTATATTGCTTATTTATTTGTATTGCTGTTTTAGTGTTTAGCGGCTGGTATTATACAATTATATTTGACTGAAGCTCCTTTACATAAAGATTGGATTAAAAAGAATACAGGTATCATTACTCTAATAAGGGATAATCCAAGACGTAGTTTTTTTTTGCGCTTGTATTGTTTACAAAGGAAGATTATGTTATGGGAACATGAAATCTATAATTCAATGGATTATAAAGCACCAATGTCATATTTTCATACATTTGAAGCAGAGGATTGTATGGCTGCATTTAATTTTGCAAGTGAAACCGAAGCTATTACATTAAGGTATGTTAAATAGGTATATTAATATGAATAAGAATGAACAAAAGTTTGTTACAAGTAAGATTAATTAAAAACATATGATGAGGAGTAATTTATAAAAATAATTTCTTCTGATATTTTTATTTCTTTTTTATAGAAATATACTTCTTGGAAAATTAAATGCTAAACGTCAAAGGAGGCAGGAAAGAAAAGCAAAAGAAATGCAAGCTAGTACTACTTTGCCTTGGAAAAATCAAAGTAGTATATCATCCTTTACTGTTACATCAGGTTTATCAAGTAATTTATCGAATGGTGCTCCTGCTACAGTTGGTGTTAATAGAAGTGCTTCTAGCAGTTCAATGTATAAAACTAAAAAGAAAAAAAGCGAACAAGACCTTAAACGCAAGTTGACTAAAGATGATATTGGCCTACCTTCTAATTTCAGGTATAGATTTAAATTTTGTTTTACATCATGTGTTTTTATATTTTATGTGTCTATTAGTTATTTAAAGTATATAAATATTTTTTGCAGACATGTGGCACACTTAGGATGGGATGTAAATAATAAAGGTTTGGAATTAGATTCTGTAGATTCACAATTACAACAATTTTTTAATAATGCTGGTGTTTCGGAATATGAACTTCAAGATAAAGGCACACGGAAATTTATTTATGATTTCATTGAAAGAAATGGAGGTATGAGTGCAGTGCAGGAAGATATTCGACCATTGGTTAATGCAAAAAATAGTCAACCTCCTGCACTGCCACAGAGGCAGGAATATCCTCCACCTGTTCCAGCACGAACAATACCTGTGAGTTTCATTCATGGAATTCTAATACTAATTAAACTTCTCATTCTGTCGCTATTTTTGAAGCTAGAAATGAATTAACTATTGCTATGTATTGTATACTCACACATATAAATGACTAAAGTGATTGAGTCATTGACCTTAGAATATACAGATGAAGCTATACAAAAAACAGCCGAGATTAGCGACAAAGAGAAGATTACAGGTACTTTGGCTATTTCGGTATTTTCTGACAAAAAGCTTTAATTAGCGATAAAGGAAGACTTAAACACTTTAGATACTTCGGTGGTTGTTTTTTTTTTTTTTTTTTTCATATTTTTTGCAACACTTGGTATGAAAGCAAGCAGCTGAGAGTCGAATAATATCAAACTGAATTAAACCAAATGAATTGATATACCTGTAATTCTTCGTTTTTTTTAATCTTAATTTTTCTCTGTCTTGTTCTAATTGGCAGATCTGTTTATATATTCTAAGGTTGATAAATTGAGTGCTTCTGACGTATGCACTCACTGATATTGATATGATATAATCAAATATATGGTACTCTCACTGACACGTATATGTAACACGTAGTAACATCGGCTCAAATTTACTTTTGTCTCTTTCTATGCAAAGCTGATGGAGTGTGCATCAAAAATATCAAATCCGCTACTACAGTTCTACATGAAAAAGACATGCACTAATTATAAGAAAAAGTCACGTATATGTACCTATATGTGCTACATGGTGTTTTTTTAGTGTATCTCCTTCACTCATTAAGAGCTGTGGCAGTGGCTTGATTTTGGCATCTTTAATGAATAATCTAGTTAATGTATAGAAATTATGATTTTATTCTGATAATGAATAATCTAGTTAATGTATAGAAATCTATGATTTTATTCTGATATTGGTTACATAAGTTACATTAATTAATAACTTTATTAATTTTTAATTTTTATTCTTTATTGTAAAAAACTTATAAAGTTTATTAAACAAGTTATAATTTTCTATAAAATTTATAATGAAATGATAATGTTAGACATAATAAAGAAATTTTATTATTAAAATAAATATTTGCAATAATTTTATATATTTTTTTTCATAAAGAAACTCAAATAATATTTTGAGAAGAGTAATAATATTATTTATTTTTTACAACGACATAATAAAAAACTCATTTTAAATGTTAATATTTTAAATTAAAATTTTCATTACATAATTGAGATATTTTATTACATAATAAAAACATTTTTAGTTTAATTAATGTTTTTATTTTAATTACGTTAATTTCTATTTATATATTATATAAAATTGTATTTTTTAATTTATCTTTTTACATAATCTTTTAGGTACATATAAATTTACAAATACATATTTCTCTTTATTTCCATTATTACTTATTGCTCATTATTATATATATAATTTATTGATATATTTAAACATTTGTACTTTTACATTAATAGATTCAAAATATTATTGTTGAATATAATGTTAAAATAAATATTAAAATAATATATAATTACTTATGTATATAACAGTAAAAATATAATATTGTGTTTCAGCATCAGACACGCATTGCTCCACCTTTACCTCCAAATCGTTTTGGTGTATCTCCTGTACCAAGTGTGCCATCTAGCCTACTTCCGAGCGTACCTTTAAATGCTTTGTCGAATATTCCATCTGTACATAAAACTTTACCATCAAGACCACCTCCACCAACTATAACATCAGCACCAGCTCTTCCTCCACCTCCGCCTCCACCTCTACCACCAGCTCCTTTAAAAATCGGTACAAACATTCCCATACCACCGCCTCCGCCACCTTTACCAGACTCAAGTAGCATCAACAACACAAATGTTACTAATAACAATAATGAAGAATCAATCACTGATCTTAGACCAATGCTCATGGAATCTATTAGAAGCGGTACAATTTTGAAGGTATGTATAAGTGATCCATCATATTTCTAACTGAGAATCAGTTTTATGATCAAATTTATCATTTATCTTTTTTTTTTAATTTTGTGTTATAATTCTAATTTTTTATTTTGGAATTTTGTATTTTTTAATATCTATTGTAGAATTACTGTATATGAGTGATATATGTAATAAGCATAACAGTATTTACTCTCACAGAAACTGAATGTTATACAGAGTGGAACACGTAAAACAAAATCAGAACATATAAAAATGCAACCCAGCAAGCAAAAATATTTCAACAAAAGTTATAATAGTTTAAAAGAGGACAAATAATCGTAAAATCAATTTTTCACAAAAATTTAATTGTTTAAGCCAGCGTAAAAATAAATTATTAGTGCAGTGAAAAAATTACTACATTTCAATAGTGTTTTTACTGCACTAGTAGTTTATTTTTACTAGGGAGGTTACATAAAGTTTGTCAGTTTTTATTTGCCTCATTTTGTATAACAATAAATAGTTGATTTTTAGTTTCGTATCACTATAGAATTAAGATTATGAAAATAAAATTTCTATATTTTTATTTTTGGAATTTTATTTTTGACTTTGTTTTCTAAAATAATTGTTTTTATTATATTGATATATATTTCCATATTTTTTTGAAATTTTATTTAATTTGTTAATTTGTTCTGTCAAATCAAATATGCAATATTATTTTGTTTTATCTTTATTGAACCTTTGAAACTTACAATTAGATAAATTATATCATTAATTTCTTTATATCTTAATTCTTGGTAACGAGTAATAACACACTAAAAAAGATTTATTTCTGTTGCAAACCAGAACAATCTAGTTTCTATACTTTTAATCTTTTATTAAATTTTTGCTTTTAAAAGTTAAAGAAAAAGTATATTCTAAGCAAATATTAAAATTACATGATAATTTAAATTATTTAAATATTATATTAATTTTAAAATATTGCATGTTAAATAAGAATAGAATAACGTAAATAATATTATAAAGGAAAAAATGTTATTCTTTACCCTTCTAATTTATTGTGTATAAAATGAAAAAGGATAACATAAACATTTTTTTTATTTAATATTCTAAATACATTTATATATATAATATAGAAAAGAAAAAATAAAACAGTAAAATGAATGGTAAAACAGTGGGAATAAAGAAAGAAGGAAAAGAGGGCAAACAAATGTCTAAATATATTTTTACCTTAATGTACACATTTGTCAAGTTAATTTCTTGAAAATTAAAAAAGGAATGAAATGATCCGTTTTCTCTTTTAGTTTCAATTAGAAACCTCATTTGATATTTTACTTTACAGAAAGTTGATAAGACGGAAATAAAGCCAGCATTAGTTGAGGATTCAAGGGATGAGTTGCTACGACAAATACGTGAAGGTATTGAATTGAAACCTGTTCGAAATGAAGCAAAATCGAATACAGTACCTATACTTCGTGGTGGCTTGGCTGATGCATTATCTAGAGCTCTGGCTGAACGATCTCGTGCAATTCATAGTGAAAGCGAAGAATCCACTAGTGATACCACTGATGACGACGAATGGGATGACTAAATCAGGTTAGTTAACTAATTCATATTATTCTTATGCAAGTCTGCTATCTTTACTATATTTATTTTTCATATTATCAAAAGTATAAAACAATTATTTCAGATAAAAAATTAATTAAAAAGCTAATAACATATTACTGTGATAAATACGTTATTAATAAAGATATTAACAAAGTTATTTACAAATATGTAATGTAAATGAATCAATTTTAAATATCTAAAGAACAGTATAAAATAGATGAAAATTATTTTAAAAAAAAGTTATAAAATTCAAAAGGAATCGTACATATACAAAACATAAAGCAGGTAAGGGTAGATTATAACTATTCTAATATTTTATAGAAAGAAAGTTATAATGTGTTTTGCATAAGTTTTAATATATAAATATTTCTTAATTAATAGTTTTTTTTACAAAAATTGCTTTGTGTAATATCTATGTTGCAATATCCAAAATTATTCTTTAAAGCTATTTTAAAAAGTCAATTATGATATTTCAGATAGAATGATATATATTTATGTGCTGAAAATAGTTTGAATATAACACAAATATAAATTTGATATATATAATTTTATTAGAATAATAAATGATATATATACTCCCTTCCAAAAAAATGGTAAATTAAAAGTGTAGATAAAATTTACCAAATTTCAAATAATCATAACTTGGTAAATAATGAAGATAAAAACATGAATAAACATTGCAAAATGAAGCTTCAAATACTCACTTTAATAATATTTGAATGGCAATTATAAACGGTTATTTTAATGGCGGATGACAAAATGAAAAACTTCAGAATTGATAATCAAAAGTTCGTGCTTGCGACGATGCATGGCATGAATCAAATATCACAGCCCAATGGGACAAAATGCACATGAATGTATGGAGTTATCTTTAAAATGCTTTTTGGCCAAACACGGTACGATCATTTTTCGCTAAGTTATGCAACTTTGAAAAAAACCTGTTTTTTAATTAAGTTTGGAATAATTCATCGAAAAATGATCGTATTGAGCTTGATAAAAAATAATTTTAAAGATAATACTTTGACTAGAATTTAATCTCATTGCGTGTTGCACACATATCACATCTTTGTGGTACGTGTGCGTGCACACACGCTCTTCCTCTCTCATACACACGCGCACATTCGCGCGAATACGCACGACGCACGCACGCACGCACGCACGCACGCACGCACGCACGCACGCACGCACGCACGCACGCACGCACGCACGCACGCACGCACGCACGCACGCAATGAGATTCAATTTTAGTCACAAGTGTTATTTTTAAAATACTTCTTTATCGAGCTCAATACGATTATTTTTCGATGAATTATTCCAAATTTAATTAAAAAGCAAGTTTTTTCAAATTTACATAACACAGTGAAAAGTGATTGTATCGAAAAGTCGGCCAAAAAGCATTTTAAAGATAACGCTTGATACTTTCATATTACATACTGCATTTTATTCCATATATCTAGGCTACGATATCTGATTCACGTCATGCATCGTCGCAAGCTCGAACCTTTAATTATCAATTTTGTATCTTCTCATTTTTCATCCACCATTTTTTTTATGTGGTTATTCATAATTGCCATTTAAATATTCTTAATGTTGGTATTTGAAGCTTTTATTCATCTTCATTATTTATCAAGATATAATTAATGAAATTTGATAAAAATTTTAACCTAAATTTTTAGTGTACACTTTTTTTGAGAGGGAGTATCATAAACCAATACTTAATTGATTCAAATCTTTTTACATATTATATTAATGAGTCATAAAAATGCTTTATAATAAAAAAATATTTTGAAAAACCTACTAATTTTAAGATAATTTAAAAAATGAATTATTTAATCTATATATACCTATATATATATATAAGGATGTCCAAAGGCAGTTTTGACGACAGTTTTTGTACCCTATATACATATGTGCGTTTGCACCTAAAAAGTACGATACATAAGCCGTTTCATATACTTCTTTGTAGTTTTTAAATTAAATAGAATTAAATACAAAGTGGTAGTTTCGACGACATCATATATCTATTGGCAGTTTCGAAAGCAGTGTATATAAAAAATATACGTAAAGGGCAGTTTCGACACCTAGGTATATATGAAAAATATATAG